CTTCTAGCGGGTTGCGAGTTGTTTTCCGCAATTTCGGTCATAAAAACAAAACAAGCCGGCCTCCTGTCTGCGGCGCTGTCTGCAGTCAGCTACAATTTGGGAGAGGAGCAGCGGAGCGTCTGGGGAGGGGGCGGAGTCTGGAGCCGAGCTATTTCATTGAACTCATTGCACTGATTTTGTGCAGTATTTTTGCAGTATTTTTTGATGCAACTTTTCTACTTCTGTTATTTGCTGTTGTTTAAAAAAAAATGCATAACGATATTACAGCTTTCATTGATTTATTTCAAACTTGAAACTTTGTTTAGCCTGTAAGGTGTAAAACAAAATGTTTTAACCGATTAATCGAATCGAATCGAGTCGTGGTGTATTCTTGAGTATCGAAAATAATCTAATCGTTGGGTCAAGAAATCGATACTGAATCGAATCGCCATGATGGATGTGATTTACACCCCTATTTTATAGTCCTTTTTTACATGTTATTACCCAGTTTGAGTTAAGAGTAGTAAATAACTTGCTCCCAGGAAAAGGACCGTGAGGAAGCCCCGGAGGCGCAACGGCCTTTTTAGGGGACATGACTTCCTCATTTAACACAACACGACCCTTAACTGTACATCTGAACTTCATCTCAGTGCTTACCGGTGGCTTCAGGAAGACCGGTTCGTTGTCGTCAATATCCAACAGCGCCACCTGCAGTGGCTGCGTGGTCTCATAAGGCACTGGTTGACCCATGTCCCGGGCCACGATGATAAGCTGAGAGAGAGATTCACACTTTTATTTAATGTGCTGTCGGATGCTGAGGCTACAGGGACGCGGCAGACTCACGCTAAGCAGGGCTTGTTTCTCTCGGTCCAGTTTCACTGTGGTGGTGATGACTCCGGACGTGGGGTCGATGTGAAAACTCTCCCAGTCTCTGTTCCCAGCTCCTGTCTGCAGGAAGGCGTAGCGGACCTCTCCGTTCACGCCCTCGTCAGAGTCGGTTGCATGGACCTCATATACGGGCAGGCCTGGAGGTTGCTCCTGCACAAACAGACCGGTTCCACAAACAGAAGTACTTGGTGGGATTTGAATTAACTGAAGTTGGTGACATTTTAGGACAATATAAGAAAATAATCTAACTGATTTAAGCAGGAGGGATTAACAAGCAGTAAATGGCTGAAGAATAAAGTTAGTTGTACATTTTCTACCTGTCATTATTTGATTCTGTTTTGCATATTTATTAAATAAATCCTAACTACGTTATTTACATAGTGCAAACCTGTTCCTACCCCCAGAAATTTCTACCTTGGATATGAATCTATTAGTGTTTTCTGCATGAACTAAAAAAGGAATAACAACCCCCCTAAAATTAGTAGACCGACTTTTTACAGCAGTTGTATCAAAGGAACACATTTTAGTCATTCTGCTTCATTCTATCTCTATTCTCCCAC